TCAAAATTATCTGCACCATTAAAGGCATTCAAATATATGACAAATATATACCAGACTAGCCCATTACTTGTGCTTTATTTGATCTAAATCTTTCTTAGTTTCTTTCTGTCTTTGTCTCTATCTCTCTCACATATACTCCCCTTCTCCTCGCAGTTTTTTGTTTGTTTAGTTTAATTTAGAAATGAGTCAAATAAAAAAAAGTAGACTAATGAAAAAAACAAAAACAAAAAACAATGAACCAATGTGTAGCCCAGTTCCAGTTAGCTGCAGTGCCCTAAACTAAGTTATTTTACTTCCTTCTTTGTGTCCTCCTCTGCAAAGTGGGAAATCATCACCAATAAGTTTAACTCATAGGTTGCTGTGAAAATAATCTGTACTAAAACACTATAGGAAGAGCGATACCAGTATAGAGGTATACCAGCTTAAATGAGAGGCAGTTATTAGTCCTACCCACTTAGGAACACATTATACAATGATAGAGAAACATGAGGGTAGATCTTCCATTAAAAAGCATGAGTTCAGTGCCTAATTGTCCATCATAGGGATAAGCAACTGTCCATATTTTAAAGGAAATTGGTTTCAACTTGTAGATTTTATTCTGGTAAAAATTATATATAAGAAAGATCAGTCAGCAGTACCCAGTACCACTTAAACTGGGTAGAATGGATTATAGATGTAGGTTAAAAAGTTACTAATATTATTTTATTATTCAGCAGGGACTGAAGTTTCAACTACTTAGAACTGTGGTCTCAGAAGTTACCTAGTTCAACCTTCTGTCCGGGTATCTACCACCCTCTGACATGAAATCCTTGCTGGGTTTATTTCACTTCTTTCCAAAAGAAACTTTCATCACCTTGAGGCAACTCAGAATTTTGAACACTTTCTGACAAATCATGTTAAGGAAAAATTTTCTGTGTTCATCCATTCATTGAACTTTCATCCATTTGTTGTAGTTGTACTCCCTACATACACAGAATAAGCCTGTTTGAAGACTGAAGTTCAGTTCTCTGGAGCTCTTTTTTTCCAGATGAAATGGCCCTAGATTTTATAATTGTTCCTCAATTGCTCTGGTTACTCTTTTCTTTCCAGATGGTGGTTTGTCTAGATCCCTTTTAAAGTATGCTGCCAAGAAATTCCCACTGGGTTCTTACAAAGTTCTGAACAATATGGCCACTTTCATTATTCTTGACACTGTTCTTCTTGTAGCCTAAACTGGCATAAGCTTTTTTGACAGCATAAAGTCATTTTCTTTCAGTAATCACTTTCCACAGGTGGCACACAGCTACTCTGCTGAATTGAGAGCAAAAGATGCAGTAGAGTCTGGACGCACCTGGCACCTTTACAGAGGATAGGCTGGGGCCCTGGGTTGGGGAGAGGACAAAGAGATGTGAAGCTACAAAGTAGCTTGAGTAGAAGGATGGCTGGAATCTCTGACATTTCAATAAAGAATGAGAGATTTAAATTTGTCCCTGTGGTTCTTTGACTCTGAAGCCTTTTAAGCTCTTCAAAAGGAAAGTTAACTTGGAGCTGGAAAATTGTGTTAACACATTTAAACCCATCAGTATCTTGTTGTACTAACTTATTTTATTCAATTATATATATATTTACATAAATGTACGTATATTTATTTAATAAGGAGGTTGGAAAATCAAATTCTATATTGGATCAGGATGCTGATACAATGCCAACTGCTAACTGTGCAAAGGAAGACTTTGAGAAAATAAAAGTTGTTTAGAGAAATCCAGATGTCATTGCTTTGTATGTTGTGATGATGTGGCAGCCAGCCTCCAAGATGGCTCCCAATGAATCTTACTTGCTGGTATTCATATCCTTGAGGCTGATCTAAGTAACCAGTAGGTTATTGTGGAAATATTGTAGCGTGTTATGGTCTGAATGTTTGTGTCCTCCTCAAATTAATATGTTGAAATCTTGACCTTCAAAGTGATTGTATTAAGCTGTGGAGCCTTTGGGAGGTAATTAGATCTGAGGGTGGAGCTGTTCTAAATGGGATTAGTGCCCTTATAAAAGAGGTCTGATAGAGCTTGTTCACTCCTTGCGCCATGTGAAGATGCAAAAAGAAGGCACTATTTGTGAGGAATGAGGCCCTCACCAAACACGTAATTTGCTAGTGTTTTCCTCTTGGACTTCCTAGCCTCCGGAACTGTGAACAATAAATCTCTGTTGTTTATAAACTACCCAGTCTAAGGTTTTTTAAAATAGCAATCTGAACAGACTAAGACAGTGTTACTTCTGACAAAAGCATGAAAGACATTGTGGCTTCTGTCTTGCCTTCTTGAATAATTTGCTCTGGTGGAAGTCAGCACCATGTCACGAAGACTCTCGAGCAACCCTGCAGAAAGGTCTTCATGGTGAGAAAGTTAAGCCTTCACATGACTGCAACCCTGGAAGATATCTGACTGCAACCTCATAAGACCCTAAGCCAGAATCATCTGACTAAGCTGTTCCTGAATTCCTAACCCACAGAAACTGTGATGTTTATTGCTGTTTAAGTTACTAAGCTACTAAGTTTTAAGCTACAAAGCTCTAAGGATTTTCTCTCCAGCAACAAATACCTAACAATGGATAGAAAGGAGGAATGAAGAATAAAGATACTTCATTCATTGTTCATATAAGTTCACATGCTAGGTACTTGTTACCCCTCCCCCTGCTTAGGCTAAGGGGTAGAACAGGTGTTAGGTTCATTTCTGCTTTTGGAAACTAATGACAACCAAATAAGGTTGTCATAGAGAATGACAAGAAAAAAGGACAACTTGCCCTCTTTTCTCCTCTTCTTCCTCTTCTGTTTTTAGGGGAGGACTAGGAAGACATGGAGAACTCACAAATTTTATTTTTGACTCCTCAGTGTCTCCTTGGAAAAGTTGCATTGGCCATTTGCTATGAGGTTGGTGGTTCCTTGAGATCAAGGTTGGAAAATATATGAAAAACGAATGCTATCGAGGGAGAGGGCAAACTTCCCTTCCTCCTTTTCCTGAATTCTGAAGACATTCCATTCTTAGAATGGTGTCTCACTGGAACCATTCCATTCACAGTCCATCAATGAAGTCTTGATGACACATCATGCATGTCATCAGCTATTTTCACTATTAAACAACCCCCATTCCTCTATGAAGCTCCTTGCTTCTAGGATAGCCCTCCCCCACTTTTGACCCTTCTATCCCATTTTCTCTGTGCACTGTTGCTTAAACTGTTGCTCAAGATCCCAGGATGCTTGATCCATAGAGGTCTACTGCCAATATATCAACATACTTCTGTAAGTTATCCAAAATCATATGGGTAAGAGCCCTGGCCTAGAACTAGGAGACCTGAGTTCTGGGCTGCTCTGTTACTGATTAGCCTACACGTGCTTGGACAAGTTGCTTCCTTTTTCTGGACCTCAGTTTCTTTATTTTAACATAAGAGTGGGTCTAGATGAGTTCTAAAGCCATTGGATTCTCACAAGGTAGGATTCCAAGATGCAATCCCAAACTGAAGCCGGTGGTCAGTACACCTCTGAGTAGCTATGATGGTTACAACATAAGGTTCCCTTTAATGGATACAACTTCAGTGAAAGGCTGTGAGGTTTACTGGGAAGAGTCTTCCGGTTTTGAAACACACCATCTCCAGGTTTCCAGTTCTGTCACTAACTCAGGGTGACTTTGGGCAAATTCTCTCTGGACCTCAGAGCAAGGAAGTCCTGGTTACCCAGAAGAGGCCTGACGACCTGGGCAGTGACTTGGAGAGCTTCCTTTCACAATCCAGGGGCTCAGCCCTGGCGCAGAGTCCCTGTCGGCCAGAAGTTCTGCTTCCGAGGTGCACCAGAAACTTAAACCATACGGGCTGGCTGAGGGCGGCTCAGCTTCGGAGGAGGTGGCTACAGGTGAATTCTTAAAGGGACCGTCAGAGTTTGGCTATCACCTGAAATGATGACCGGGCGTAGACGCAGGCTTGGGGGAATGAAGGAACGAACCTTCTCTCCCTACACTTAAATGCACTCATACTTGGAATTAATCACTTAGACTTAAAATCCTCTACTCACACTCTTGCCGAATTAACCAGTCTTTTTATTTTACATGCCTTTCTTTAATGAATACCCCCAAACTTTTCACTGAGAGGCGAACAGTAACTTAAAAAACCAAATCGGTACAAAGTGGAGGGCACTGGAGAGCCGGCACCCACCCCCAACCCGAACGCCTCCTTTCCCCCCTCCCAAGCCCCTCTCTCCCCGCCCCCTGAGGTGGGAAGTGCGCTGGCCTCCTCCCTCAAGGCGGCTTTTCGCGGTGGGGGGTTCACCCCTGGGGGCGCCAGGCGCGGTCTCCTGCCGTAGAGTTGGAAGCAGCGCGTGTTTAGCGAGGTTAAGGGGTGTCTCGGCATGTGCGCCTTGGATCTCGGGTAGGTGAGGTCACGTCTGTCTTCAGACACCCGACCCCTCCCGGCCCGGCGCGCTCCCAGCTCGGAATCGCAGGACGCGGCGGTGGGTTGGGGCGAGGCCAAGGCGGGCGCTTCTGGGCACCCCGGACCACCTGTAGAGTCTGCGTGTTAACTCCTTTGTCCTCAGAGCCACTTCGGTGGCCGCCCCCCTACGCGAGGAGGTTCGCTCGGGATGCTCTCCGGGTCCGCCTTCCCGTCCTCAGCCCTCTCGCGGCCCTCCTCCCCCTTCCAACCCAAAGGTAGCAGCGCGGAGCCCCGGGCTCGGCGCGTGCCGCCTCCTCACTTCCCATTGGTTGAGAGCGCGGGAAGGCGGTCACGTGGGGGCGCGGCCGTCCAGCTCCGGGGCCGCCATCTTGGCGGAAAGTTTGGGGGGAGAGCGGTTGGGGGCGCGGAAGGAGGCGAGGTTCCGGGGGTGGGGCGGCTAGGGGGCGAGCGGGCGAGCGGGCGAGCGGGCCGCGGCGAGTGAGGAGGCGGCGCGGCCGAGGAGTAGGAAGAAGCCGCGGGGGTGCGGCCGCCGAGGGGAGCTCCTCCCCCGTCCCTTCACCCCCTCAG